GTTTTTTTACACCTCCCTTTCTTCTTGTGTTCAATACTTTTTCCCTGTGCCATTCCACATTATTACAAACAACTTCTTTGATTGCTTTGTATGTATGGATCACTTGGGTTGTTACCAACATCTGGTGAAAATTTCATGTCATTAGCACCTCTAGTAATATATTTACTGAGAAAAATGGTGACGTGTTCAATACTTATTTTACCTGCTGTAAAGGGCAAGAGTTTTTCTTTGATTCAGCAGCAGATTGAGTGACAGCAACATGGCAGAGCAGTGAATTTATTCCCACGCTTCTTTTATTTCTGCACTAATTAATGTTCTCTGAAAGCACATGTGAAAAATGTGTAAGCGAGCATCTGTCTGAGACTTCTGCTCTGCCAGAGAGAGCGTCAACACAGAATGGGATGTTTGCTTAGCAGTACTGTCGTCTGAAAGAGCCTGATGTTAGATTATCTTGTTGGCCTGGAATTTTTTTTTTCTTATTTCAAGAAGTCTTACCAAGTGAAACTGTCTTACTTCAATGGCAAATTATTTTACTTAATTTGAGTAGATTCAGGCTACAATCTAGTATTTTAAAACTTTTTTAGATGGCTAATTTTTTGCAGTGTAACAGAGTGATAGTGTCAGTTTAATGGAGTACTTTGGTCGACAGAGGAGTTCACGGTCGACTGATTAACTGAAAGGCACTCAGGTCCTGTGGCTACTCAGCCGATGAAGTTTTTGCTAAACATGGCACTGTGTATTATAGACAAACACCTATACTTTGGTTTCATCTCTCAAAGGATATTAGTCTTAATTTGGTTCAACTTTGCAAACTTTTCACATTGCTACCTTGATGCATGAAAAGAGTTTTGGTCATAAAATTAGAGATACCTCAGAATCTATTCTTTACTTGTTGAGAAAAATGATGATGGTGGTGAACAAAACAACCAGCAGATGGTAGCACAACCAAAGTTACATGAAGTTGTAGAAGGAGCAAACGTTTTTTTAAAAAGAAGTTTTTCCAGAGTGTACCACGGCCTGAGAACTTGACGTTATGTCCCCACATGCTGGTGAGGAGTCTCAGTCATGCAGGTCACGATCCAAAAAAGGTTTTAAAAATGTTTCCCATTCCATCCAGGAGGCTTTCTCCACTCAAAATGTCTGGAGTAGTGTGGTGTCCCAAGCTTATGAGAAACTTTGTTATTCCTTGATTAACAGTACTCGCCCCACACAGTGGAATCGTTTAGCTCACCCACCCACCATGCTATCCAACCCCCAGCCGTGAACTGTTTTAAATACCAAAATATTTTCTTTCAAATTACATGAAAAGTTAAATAAATAGAGATTTGCCATTCCAAAAATGCTCCAGCATGGGACTTGCCTGTGTTTTTGATGGCTTCACTAATAAAGTAATGCCATATGTCAGTAATGTGTGTGTGTGTGTGTGTGTGTGTGTG